TTGAGAGACTGGCCAGATAACGGCAGACTTTCCCTCCGACAGCTCTCAGCCAAACTGACGCTTCTGCTTTGCCTAGTCTTGTTCCGCCAGGTATCGGATATGCGGGCTTTCGACATCAACGCCTTTTCGGTCTCCCCAGAGCGTGTTACCTTTCGAGTATCGCGTCGTACGAAATCGGACTCCACGTCGGTCTTCTACCCCTTTTTCCCTACTGATCCACAACTTTGCGTGGTGTCTACTCTACGTCGGTATGTGGAGGTCACATCCCCGCTCTGGGTCTCCTCTTCCGGCCAACTCTTGGTGTCTTACGTTAGACTTCATGTACCCGTCTTGGCTACCACCCTCGCCAGATGGATAAGATGGATTCTATCACTGGCGGGAGTGGACGAGGTCTTCGGAGCCCACTCTGTTCGCGGCGGCTTCTTCGGCTTTCTCGGCGGGTGCGTCGCTGGCGGATATCCTACGTTCCGCGGACTGGTCGTGAGAATCGACCTTTCGAACTTTCTACTTCCGCCCGAGCTTGGGGGCGGCCACGTCTCTCCTGCATCAGCGTTAAAAATGCAAAATAGGAAGCCTCCTGTCATGCGGTAAAATTGAAGATTATGCTAACGTTAGTGTACTTATGATCTTAATTTTAGTAATGACAGGAGGCGAGTATTTTCCCACCCTTGGGGAGAAGGGACTCACGTAAGTATACTTATCTTCTATGTATTCCTTCCTTACCTCTATCTTCCTTGCTCCTCCTAGATATGGGGATATGTTCGGATTGGTTTATTTCTAACATTACTTGTCGTTTATAGTCAGTTGTTGATAATCGATAGTGTGACATCTCTGTGAGATTGTGTTGGGTCGTTAACATTACTTCAAACAGTTTCCAGACCGGTACCTAACCCATTTCATGTTCTATTTCTGTGTAAATTCGTGGCGTTACAGTTCATGCTCAGGATGGACACCTTTGGACTTTCCTTCAGCCATTAAAGTTTTGTTTATTGGAAAGTCACCCGTTGGTGCATGTTACAAGACTTTGGACCTTTTGGGAACTTTATCCATGATGTCGCTTTCGAAAGAGTGGGAGGAGCCTTATCACTGTGAATACCATACTTCCTATTGCATTTTGATTGGTTAATGTTTTTCACTTTTCTTTACTGCTATGTGGAGTTAGCAAAGAGAGTTTAATGCAAAATACTCTCCTCCTGTCATTACTAAAATTAAGATTATAAGTACACTAACGCTAGCATAATCTTTTTTAATTTTTGCCACATTTCTCACTTCCTACATATTTTTCAGAGAAACATTTACCCATCTTTACTCAGCTATCAATAATGGAATACTGATGACCCGTTAGAATTTCTATAGAACTTTAGAAAAGGAATTTACTCATAAAGAAAAATAGCAAATAAGATCTCGCTTTTGATAGCGCCATCCCATTAGTCAGTATAAAATGTGCCTGTTTCTCTTTGTTTAATTGATTTAAAAAGAATACTTTATATAAATACACAGTTGACTATATATATATATATATATATATATATATATATACACGCATTTGTATATGGCTGGCATTAGAAATGTATTTAACATTTTTTAAAAAAAAGTGTTTGTGATAGCATAAAATACATTCTCTTGGCCTTTTATAATGAAACCACAAGCCTTGACATTTTATGAAGATCTTTCGATTTTCTGTAAGACTTATGCTCATTATAAGCAACAAGAAGATCTTTCTGGTAAGTACACAAGTATAGCTGATTTATTTTTCCTATACACCTTCTGTAAGCTGTCTTTCCTTGTCGGTACTCCTAACTAAGGAATAAAATAACATTAAGATCTTTGATCAAACATGCTGACAGAAAGCTCCTGTTTTGCGGATGATGAAGAATAGAAAATTGACCAGTGCTTTTCAGACTAAAGAAATTCTAGATATTTTATATGTGAAGATGCCTGTTGGGTTTTATTGTGCGTGCCAATTAAAAACATTAAAAGGTAAAAGGTAAGTGGCTACAGGGGTTTTAACCCCTTCAGCCCAGTAGGATGGGGGCCATGAGTGTGGGGAATCTAAGGACTACATATTGCCAGGAAAATGAGTTTGTTTTCCTGGCTCTATAGTGGTCCTTTAATGGAGAAAGTGCTGTTTAAAATGTGTTTGCATACTCAAACCAAAAGCAACTGCAGCCATAATGTTAGGTAAGAAGACAGTTCTGTCTCATGTATAAATAAGATTTGTAAGGAAGGATTTAATCATGCAATCATTTGCCTCATTTATATTTCTTCTGAGCACGTCAGTAATCGTTTAAAATAACTTTTATTTCCTGTAAAGTAGCAAAATTTACTTTTATGAAATGACAACTTTAACAGATACATGGAAAGTTTATTCTCCTGAACATCCCTGTTTACATAAAGCAGATAGTCCAGTAAGCCACAGCAATCCACTGTTTCTTGTGTGAGATACACTGGCAGGGTTATTCACCAAATGAGAATCTAAAGTGAATTTAAGGGAAATTCAAATTTAAGGTCAAAATAGCCAAACTGGAAACAATTTATAAATCGGCTATGCTTTCAGATCAGCTATTCTGGCCTTAAATTTGAAATCCACTTTGAATTGACGGTGAATTATCACTTTAGAAAATGACCCCGTAGGTTTAACCAAATATTGGAATTGTGACGAAATTGCATTACAACAAAATATTTAATCTGGATTTTTTTGTTTTGTTATTTGGCTATATTTAAAGATTCCCTTGTGAATTCTCCACATTTTATATGTGTTCATAAGTCTATTTTATGTTTCTGTCCTATATTGTTAGCTCAGTTGGTTAAATAAGCACTTAAAATACTTTTACTAAACTGATAATTTAACGTTATGAATGTTCATATCTGTATGTGAAAAGGTCTTTCAAGTACCAAGAGTCAAGTCTTCAAAACCGTTGACTGCACTCTTTGATCAAAAAATCCAGCTTTCTGTGTGTCAGGAAGAATTTGCAAGATCTTTCTGACATCTTTTAAAATTAAACAGTCAAAATGCTTAGGACTGAATATGAACTTCTGAAAAAATTATGTGGAAAAAAAAAATAAGACTGGTGCAACTATTCCCCCAAATTGGATTGTCAAAATAATAACAAATATGTAATAATTAGGACTTACTGGTAACTCTTAATTCTTCCCACTGACAGCATGACTTTTAACATATTAATTTTGGATTTCTTTCTAAGTTTATTTGAATACAGTTGTTCTTAATTATTATTATATATTTTTTTACAGACATACACACATACATACACACAGACAGACATACACACACATACAGACACACACACTTATATACAGAAACACAGACAGACACTCATACAGACACACACACAGACATACACACACATACATATACAGACAGACACATACCTTTCCCTGGGGTCAAGTGGTGGCTCAGGCAGATAGTAGTCCGAGTTCTCACTCTGACTCCCTCTCCTTCCTCCCGTGCAACTCCCAGTGGTTGCTGGTAGGAAGTGACTGGGGAAGTCACTTCCTCCCAGCCTCTGACATCATCAGAGGGGGTCCGGTTGCGCTGTTAAAGCCATAACCGGGCTGGCCGGGCCCCCTGGAATTACATAGCATCGGGTGACCCAAACAGCATGGGCCATCCAATGGACCCCTTCAATGCGGCCCCGGCGGTTACACCACTCGGGCCGGGGCTGCATTACTCAACTGGCAGGACCGGTGGTCGCAGGGGCCTGCAGGCCGGTCGGGCCCCCTGAAGTGACGGGCCCGGTCGCACCTTCGACCCCTGCGACCGCGGTAGTTCCGCCACTGTTTGTGATCCATTTCTTAATGCACCACTAAATGCAACCAGACCACTTAATTTCTACAAGTGGTCTGGGTGCAGTATCCTTGTCCTTTTAACACTGCAATGTAAAACATTGCAATTTTGTAGAACAGCCACTTGAGGTGGTTCCTCTGCAACAACCGAGTCATCTAACATAGAAACATAGAATGTGACGGCAGATAAGAACCATTTGGCCCATCTTGTTTGCCCAATTTTAAAAAAATACTTTCATTGGTCCCTGGCCTTATCTTATAGTTAGGATAGCCTTATGCCTATCCCACGCATGCTTAAACTCCTTTACTGGGTTAACCTCTACCACTTCAGCTGGAAGCCTATTCCATGCATCCACTACCCTTTCAGTAAAGTAATACTTCCTGATATTATTTTTAAACCTTTGCCCCTCTTGTTGTGGTAGTGTTTCTTCTTTTAAATATAGTCTCCTCCTTTACTGTGTTGATTCCCTTTATGTATTTAAATGTTTCTATCATATCCCCCCGACTCGTCTTTCCTCCAAGCTATACATGTTAAGTTCCTTTAACCTTTCCTTGTGAGTTTTATCCTTTAGAAAAGCACTGTATTCAATGTATTCCTATGAGAAGCATTTGATTGGACGATCACATGGCACTTGATGCACACACCTCGTCCACAATGCTCCTCTATCCAATGCCTCCACAATGATGTCATGGAAGGAGGAGCAGTCAACAGTACAGAAGGAGTCTTGGTGCTGAGAAAAAAAAGTAAAACCTTTTTTTTTTTCAAATAATGCAGGGGAGGTGGTAAATCTAATTATGGACTATGGCACCGTAGAATTTGGAATATAGGTTTGAATTCCTAATGCTATAGTGTTCCTGTAAAAGCAAAAGTGGTTCAGTGACCATTCTTAACTTGTAATACAATATACAGCAAAAAAATTACATAGCACATTTGTTTATATGTTTGACCAGTGTCAATGTTATCTCTCTTATAATGAGAAATACAGCACTGGTACAGTAAATAATGTATTGTGGTCAGTTGCTTGCGACCAGATGGAGAAGGTACTAACAGGAAGTCCATCAAATCAGCATGGGGGGCCTATTTTGGACCTGAGCCTGAAACATTGTACTTACGTAATGTCATTGTAAAGAGAGAGCCCAATTTCCATTTTTTCTCACATTTATTTCCTTTGTCATGCAGATTGTAAGTACACATTGTTATAAATGATTAGGCTTTGGAATAATGTATTCGTTGCTGTAAGTAATATCTTTATTGCTACAGTCAAAAATTATTCTAATTATTGGAATGTGTATGTGATTAAAGAATTGCCAAATACACAGTTATGATGTCTCGTTTAACATGTTAAGCATATCTGTCCTAACTTTACCTCAATTACACACCACTTATAGTGTAAATAAAGAGACATTATTAAGAACCTTGGGCGAAACCCCTAATATCTGACTAACTCAAATCCTTCTTCACCTCTAAATATCCCCTTCCTGCAACTGTAAAGCATTGTAAAATATATTGACACTATATAAATAATACCAATAATAGTACAAGCCATGGACAAATATAGATGGAGATACATTGCATGATAGACTACGGTTAAAGGAACACTATGGTGGAATACAAAAGTGAATTCCTAACACTATTGTGTCCGCCTGTCCCTGTGACTCCCCCAGTGAATAAAGGGTTAAAAAACCCTTCTTACACTTATCTAATTACAGCTCCAAGATTGCTCACAACCTAATCCGACCTCAGCACGATCTGGGAACCTAAGGTGCATGCGCGGCATGCGTTAGGTCTTCTTCATAGGAAAGCATTGAATCAATGTTTTCCTATGGGTGTTTTGAAGACGTATGTCCTTGTGAGGACGTCCAGCGTCGTTTCATGCTTTTCTTTCACTCCGTGTAAACCGAGGAAGCACACCTAGTGGCTGACTGTCTGAAACTGCAATGTTTTACAGGGGCAGGAACACTACACTCAATTAGATGAAGGGGTCTAAGTGTCCTTCTAACAATTTTACCAGAAGTCTGAGATCAAACATGGTTGAAATTCTAGTAGAGGTGGACCTAAAATTGACAACACCAGCATTTTAAAGCAGAGCAGACAATTTCAAACATGCTCAGAATATATACTAAGTTTTGCCACTATAACTGTGTTTAGTTGCATTATCCTAATATCACAAAAGATGATTATGAGATATCAGTTTTATTCCAAACTGTAAAAAACATTTTGCAAAATATTAACTACAAACAAACAATGTCTTAACATTCCATATCAATTATGCAGATGTAACACCAATTTTATTTTAGGCAACGGAAAACAAAAATAAAATAAAATTACTAATATACAAACATGCTATGTGAGATAAAATTTCTTCTGTGTGATGATATAAAAAAAATGTTGATTATTTAATGTGAATTATTATCGCATACTAAAAACATTTAGGATTTGTGATAATAGCAGGTACTGCAGTAACATTCTGTATGATTTTCGATCTTCCCATTGTCTTTAAGTGTAACCTAAAAAAAAAACAAAAAAAACACGATACCATTAAAAGGGTAAAATATGTATGAATTCTCAATGCTATTTCTGGACAACACATAAAAAATATATTTAAAACACGTGAAAATGTTGCTCGTTTTTGTTTTAAAATGTGCTGCAAAATGGGAAAAAACAAGAATATCATGCCTTGAACAAGTATGTCTTAAAAAACATTAAATTAGAGTGCTACTGAAACACTGACAGGGCATTTCACATTGCTCTAGGGACATGATCAAGCCACCAAGGAAAATGACTGCATAAATCAGAGCTCTTCACAACACTGTCGTTTCCCGTTGTGTTATCCTGGCTTGGATCCTGGCTGCCGGAAAGACCAATAAATCCTTGAGCTTCTCTGCATCCCAGGACACCTGAAAGACTACCGTTGCTTCATCTCTCCTGCAATACTGCACCACTCTAGTGGACCTCGCATCTCAGTACACACAGTATTGCCTCAGGGCAGGTACTCCAATCCTACATTTACTGTTTTTTTAAATGTACATTTATGGCTCAACTGTTTTAATACTAGAGGACTGGGTGTCAAATTTGCAAGGGACTGTCCCTGTTTCTCATATGGTATGGTTGCAGGGTGCCCCTTCTATTAGTACAGAAAACAATATGAATAGAATGAAAGGTTCAGAGAAAAAAATTGAGGACATACAGTATCAGTAAAATCCCCATAGTAAAGCAGAGCCAATGCTTTCCTACGGAGAGGGCCTAATGCGCACGTAGCGCTCATTGCATTAGGTCCTCCCCCGTTGGATGACACTGGAAGAGGCAGAGTGCCAACACAGCGCTGAAGGACAACCTGATTAAGCACAGTGATTAAAGACACAGTGATTAAAATGTACTATAGGGCACTATTGTGTTACGAAGCACTCTTATATGTTTGTCTGTGCATGAATGTGTGTTTCTATGTGTGGGTCTGTACATGAGTCTGTCCTATGCATGGTTTGTTTCTGACTGTGTGTGTCTCCAGTGGCATGAGCGCATCTGAATATGGATATGTTCTTCTGTACATATGTGTGTCTCTCTCTGCCCATGAGTGTCTGGAATACATGTATGTCTGTAGGGAATTATGATTAACCCAATTGTGAATTGTAGTTAACTGAAAATCACATTTTGACTTTTATACCAATAAAGCCAAGTTGCAAAAAGCCTAATAAAGCTTTTTTTTTTTTTTTTTTATTTGGCTTCTCATGTCATAAGAATTACATTTTCAGTAAACTTTTATGCATTTCTTCATATGTCTGTCTGTTTAAGAAATTCTCATCCAAAATGGAAATGCTGGTACCGCTGAGGAGAGAGCACTGAGTATTATCCTACTCTAACCACAAGTCATTTTCCAATTGATATGTCACATGAAAGGGTGGCAGTTTTTTGCAGAAACACCACAAGTGACAGGTCTGCTTTAATTGGCAGCCCTTACATAAATAATGACTCTGTCTAATAGTGCGTGCTGTAGATACATACTATCAATGCTTACCCTTGAGAATGACTTTGCTACACAGCATGTTGCCTCAGACGTAATATTCTTTGGAACTAGCATAGTTTTCTTCGATCTCATAGGCGTTGGATAAGCTCTCGAGAAGCAGCATCCAGCACATTGAAAAATAGGACCTCTTGGAACTAATTTTGCAAAAATAGTGTTTTCTTTCAGTTTGCATGCTGGACAACCTAAGAAAGATTATTTTAAGAGCTGTGTTAACCAATTATATATATTATTGTTCATCTATAAACAAATGTACAGACAGCATAAGGAAGTAAAAGATAAGATGTTTACTTGTGAATGTGTGTACAGCCTGAATGAAGCACATCTCAAGATTTTCATACATCATATCTCCTTGCTTTTTTTAAAATTGCCTCACTTCACTTTTTTTTGTTTTTACTTATAGCTCAAACCACATACGTGATCAACATTTACACAAAACAATTATTAAAAAATACAAAATAATATAATATGACATTGCAGGCAATTGGCATGTGGAATTAATGTTTTTTTTTTTGTTTAAATTAGTAGACAGATGTGCCAATACAACAAAATGAAGAGGGAAAAAAAAAGAAACATATGCGGTTGCCGTTTAAAATAAATATAGAATGACCACAGGAAAGCCCCCCAGAAAAAGACCGGTGCATTAGTTGAGTATAAACCCCAATGTGAGGGCCTAATACCAAGACAGCTAGCCCATGGACTTAACAGTCAGTTGATGCCCAGACTCGGTAAGGGCAGAGATCTTTCACAAGGGTCACTAGGCATCCCAAGCAGGCCCTGGAGGACAACTGTAGCAGCCCTCAGCTTGGGAAGCAGACAACACCTTTATTACATGGACCCAGAGACTAATAGTACTCTAGTACATCCCCCTTAGGGGTCTACAAATGGGCCTGGATCGGAATCGGCTTTTCCACTGTCTCCTCCAGGTTTTCCAGTCTGTCGAGATTATTCCTCAAATGGCTCTCAACCCCGGTTAGGCTCTGCTGTTGAGGTATACAATGCCAAGCACAGGCCTCCCAGACCTTCCTCTGCACCAAAACCTCTCTCTCTCCAGAGGGAAAATAGTATGCTTTAGCTGGTTTTAGTGTCAGTTTAATCATGCCAAAACCTCATCAGTTTGATGGCTATGCTGTGGGACATTCAGCTTTGCAGCCATCTTGGAAGTAAAGAAAGTCCAGGTGGCCAGCTGGTTTGGTGTCCACTGATATGAACAGACAGCCTCCTCTGTGAGGATCAGGAAAATCCCCACCAGTACAAAGGGTGGAAGCGAAGAGCCAATAGGTCGAGGAACATAAGACTGGAATGTGATAGAGTACTCACTCATCTGTCCCATTAGGCCTCATGTCTCTGGAGCTCCAAGGTCACTCAAAAACTATTTCAAAATGCTTGATCTAACCAGTTGTTAGAGGAACCATAGCAAGTGCAAAACCATAAAATATAAGTCCTCTTAAGACACACAATTCTGCTTATCCTGCAGAGCTCAGGCACAGTGCAACCAGTCAGCATGGCTGTTAAGCCTCCTCCCCCCATCATTTTAACAGACTCTCATAAAGATATTAGTATAAAGACTCATCATATGGCAAGGTGTGTACGCACTCAGTGGCAAACACGTATTGAGATATACAAGTGCTATAAGCAGGGCCGCCATCAGAAATTTTGGGGCCCCTGACAAAGCACCAGGTTTGGGCCCCCCCCTCCCTCCCTCCCGGGCCCGCACACGCCCTACCTGGTCCGCTGACAATGATGCAGGACTGAATGTGGTGTGTATAGTGGAAGTGAATTAGAATATGTGTAATGGATGTAGTGTTTGTGTGTATTAGATACTGTTTGTACAGTGAATGCAGAGTGTGTGTTTGTGTAGCGGATGCAGTGTGTATAGTGAACACAGAGTGTGTTTGAGTAGTGGATATACTGTGTGTACAGTGATGTAGTGTGTGTTTGTGTAGTGGATGTAGTGTTTGTATGTACTAGATGAAATGTGTTTAGTGGGTGCAGTGTCTGTAGTGGATGTAGTGCATGTATTAGACGCAGTGTCTGTGTATAGTGAATGCAGAGTGTTTCAATGTGTGGTGGATGTAGTGTGTGTACTGTGAATACAGGATGTTTGTGTAGTGGATGCTGTGTGTACAGTTAATGCAGAGTGTATGTTAGTGTAGTGAATGCAGAGTGTGTGTCAGTATAGTGAATCCAGAGTGTATGCATAGTTTAGTGAATGCAGAGTGTGTGTTAGTGTGTAGTGAATGCAGAGTGTGTCAGTGTAATGAATGTAGTGTGTGTGTTAGTGCAGTGAATGCAGAGTGTGTGTAAATTTGTAGTGAATGCAGAGTGTGTGTTAATGTGTAGTGAATGCAGAGTGTGTGTTAGTGTAGTGAATGCAGAATGTGTTAATGTGTAGTGAATGCAGAGAATGTGTTAGTGTGTAGCGGATGCAGAGTGTGTGTTAGTGTAGTGAATGTAGAGAGTGTGTTAGTGTGTAGCAGATGCAGAGTATGTGTTAGTGTAGTAAATGCAGAGAGTGTGTTAGTGTGTAGCGGATGCAGAGTGTGTGTTGTTTTAGTGTATGCAGTGTGTGTTGTGTTAGTGTATGCAGTGTGTGTGTTGTTTTAGTGTATGCAGTGTGTGTTGTTTTAGTGTATGCAGTGTGTGTGTGTTAGTGTATGCAGTGTGTGTTGTTTTAGTGTATGCAGTGTGTGTTGTATTAGTGTATGCAGTGTGTGTGTTGTGTGTTAGTGTATGTAGTGTTAGTGTATGCAGTGTGTATGTAGTGTTAGTGTATGCAGTGTGTGTTGTGCGTTAGTGTATGCAGTGTGTGTGTTGTGTTAGTGTATGCAGTGTGTGTTGTGTGTTAGTGTATGCAGTGTGTGTTGTGTGTTAGTGTATGCAGTGTGTGTGTTGTGTTAGTGTATGCAGTGTGTGTGTTAGTGTATGCAGTGTGTGTTGTGTTAGTGTATGCAGTGTGTGTTGTGTGTTAGTGTATGCAGTGTGTGTGTTGTGTTAGTGTATGCAGTGTGTGTGTTGTGTGTTAGTGTATGTAGTGTGTGCTGTGTATATGTGCAATCTGGGGGGGAGGGGGAGGAAGGGGCATTTTAACATTAATTTTTAATTAATTTAATTAAATGTTTCTCCCCCCTCCCTGCTTACCTGTGTCCAGGGAGGGGGGAGATTCCATCTGTGGTGGTCCGGTGGGGGCCCCCGGCTCCCTATTACCGCAGAGGGGGCCCAGGCAGCACAGGGGCAGCTTCTCCTCCTCTCTCTTCTAATAACTCTCGCGAGACCCGCGGAGCGTTGCCATGGTAACCGGGTCTCGCGAGAGTTATTAGAAGAGAGCAGAGAGGAGGAGAAGCTGCTCCTGTGCTGCCTGGGCCCCCTCTGCGGTAACAGGGAGCCGGGGGCCCGTGGCTGCACACATAGATAGCGATATGCGCAATCTATGTGTGCAGAGAAAGAAAGTGGGGCCCAGGACTGCCAGAGCAGTCCGGGCCCCCCAGGGCCGCCGGGCCCGTGACAACTGTCACGGTTGTCACCCCCTGATGGCGGCCCTGGCTATAAGGTTCTATATAATACATGTGAAGTGCATCTTTTGTAGTTATTTACCATCTGCACTATCACTGCATATTTTTTCTATTTTCCTTTTTCTTTACATATAATAATATCATTTGGAGGAACCATCATACATTTTTCTGAAAGGTTGTATTTTACCTTTTCTATTGCCTCTATATTGGTGTTTCTTTTTGCTCCACTCATCACTTTTGTATCATCAAAATGGCCTATTTGTGGGCTAAAATTGGCACAGGGTCGGGGCCAAATGCCATTTTGGCCAATCAGGACCTCCTCATAGAGATGCATTGAATAATAATTCAGCTTCTCCATGCAGAGTGTGGGGATGCTGAATAGCAGGGCTGCCTAATGTACAGACCTGAGCCAGGAAGCCCCTCCAGTGACCATCTAAGGAGTGGCCACTTGGTGATGTCCCTAGGGGCAATGTAAACACTGCCTTTTCTTTGACAAGACAGTGTTTACATGAAAATGCCTGAAGGGAGCTATTATACTCACATAACAACTACATTAAGCTGTAGTTGTTCTGGTGACTATAGTGTCCCTTTAAGTAATTCGGGCATATAACTAGCTTTAACTGAACAGAGTAATTAGCAATTTATTGCTCTGTAGAATAAATGTATTCATAGCACACCAGTGTGTCTAGGGCTATTGTGCTACTCAGGCTGCACAATGATCTCCACTTAAACATGCTGGATCTCTTTTTTGCATGTATATTAAAACACTACCATTTTCACAAGAAGTTGCAAAATAAAATGGAAAACGTTTTTTTTGTTGAAAAAATTCATGTTTATTTTTCTTGGGGTATTTGGTTTTTTTTGCAAGAAATTACATATCTGTCCATGTTCAAATGGCAAATCCAGGTTGCTTAAAAGAATTATAAAACATCTACAGCCCTGTCTTTCTTTAAACAGCCTAAACTCGTCTGTATAAAATAATTAGTGCAGGAGACCCCTACTGATCTACACCGTACTCTCTTTACACTCGATTTGTTTAATGTTAGGCATGTGTTATTTTAAATTGCATCACCTGGAAAATTAAGCTAACAAATAAGTAAGCATTTCATACACAGAGGCCGAAAAAAATGTTAATTGAATCCTTACCTTGAGTCATTAACTCTCCATCAGGGTAGGAATGAAGGGCATGCATAAACACAAATACGAAGGCCAGAATGACTGCTAAATATTTTCCACAATAATCCATGCTGGTTCTGTAAATAATAACATTTTACTTTAACACGTCATTGACAAATTCGGCAGCATGTCAGGATTTAACAGCTTTACTTTGCGCAAAACACATATTATGTAAACAGCTGTCAACATTTATTCATACTTATCAATATTGCTGATATGTGAAACCGATCGTTGCAGTATACATGCAATAAATGAATAATTTAGCACACATTTCCTGAGTTGGGTTACAGTCTAGTCTGGCTCAAATTAGTGCTTATCTAGCTATGAGCTAATTAAAATAAATATTTTTGGTCATGAAGTGAGCAATGTTCCCTAAGCAGCAACAGCAGCCATAAAGGACAGTGATAGATATGATTGTCTAATCTAATGTAATTGTTGTTAATATTCCCATCATGGTTTCAAATTCCAAACTACATGTATAGGGGTTTTTTTTTTTTTTGTCTAACCATGGAAACATGAAAGATATCCAGCGCCACCTTGTGGAAGAAAGAAGCACAAGTTAAAGCATTTGTGAACAAATAAGTAAGTCAATTGCAATAAGGTACAATTTGAATATTACATCCAGCCTATTTTTTGTGCAATATTTTCTCATATCTGTATTTTATCATATGTATGCAAAACTCCCCCAGTCAGTTAGTAAAAGCACACTTAGATTTTCAATACATACTAGTTCTTACCAAACTTTACATTGACATTTTCTGTAAAGATGTCAAAATAATATTCAATTATTTCTTAATTGTTTAAATGTTGCTTTCATTATGCCTTCTATATGATTTTATTTTTTAACAATTAGTTTTTGAAACACAGCCCAATTTAGAACAGATCAGAAAAGGCACAGATCCAGCTAAAGCTTGTGCTTTTTTTTTACAATCAAAAAGTATTTGTTTTGTAGTTTTTTTCTGTGCAGTGACCACACATTTTTCCTTGCGCTTTTCTCATATTCCTCGCACAAATACACAAATTACCCACAGATGCCTTCCAAGTGCAAAACTAGTCATCTTGTGCTTTATAGTGACATGTTAATTCTCATTCCTCTACCCTAAGCTTCCTTTCTCTTTATAGTGACACATTTCTCTCAACAATCCTGCTTTTAGTGGGGCATTTCCGGGTCCAGTCCTACTGTCCCACATTAGTACCTTGGTGTCTCACATTGCACTCCCCCCTGAACCTGAGAGTACACTACAGTAAAAACATACACACAATAACATTGGCTCTCAGGTCCAGGACACTCCCATACAAAATGGGTCAATCCCTCCTCTGTGCCTGGGAGATAATTGAGTCAGCACTGTATTAAACTCAATTATCTTCAGGCACAGAAAACATACATTTTTACAAAACTCCCCAAATACCTTTAAACAAACAAAATCCCCACAAAAGTTACATCCCCTGATAGCCCCGATCTGGGTGACCAACATATCCATAAATCACCCAGATTGTTTCAGGGGTTCAGGAATTTCCTGAAAGTCCTAATTTGACCGACCGCATGCATGGTTCCATGCCGAAATTGGTTCCATAGAATCGCGGATAAGTGCTGCTGGGGACTGACTGGGAACCGCAAAGTCTTCATGCTGAAAATAGTTCCAGGGCATTCGTGGCTAAGTCCCCCTGAAGTATATTCGCGGTTTTGGTCCATGCAAACAGCCACCAGGGAGCTAGCGTTCGGTTCTATGCGCGTGATTGGAAAGTGCTGAAACAGGGGACCAGGGGGAATAAAATATGGGTCTTTACAGTCGCTGACCTGGCCCATTGTCGGTGGGCAGGAGGCCAGCTTCCACACTCCTCCAGGAGTCCGTGGCAAACGTCTGTGGAAAGCGGCGTTTGTCACAATATCTTCATCAGGAATATTGGTAGTCTGGATATATTTTCATACAATTGTTATTTAAGAATAGTATAGTAAACCTAGAAATACACATAGACCAATAGCGCTTCTCCTCCAAATGGTACACCAAATTAAAAATAAAAAAAAATTCCCTGCACCAACCCTGACAGCGTGTCTGCCAGGAAGCAAGTCAGCTAATTCCCTAAGACTCTCTGAGTTGCAGATTTGGCTAACCAGGAACCAACTCTCATCACATCAAGGCACATGTGCATAATCCATATGGGAAATCACAGTTTTGAGATAGTGGCTTTGAGGGGTGTGGAATTGAACACAGAATGGTCGTCAAATGGGTCCTGTACCAGATACTAAGAGTTTTTGAGATAAGAAGGTGGGAAACCACCTCCTCCAGGAAATGCCTATGTTCCAATCATACAAAATTACATATCCACAAGATAGTAGAAGACAAACAATATTGCAAGTAGGATACATGACATGCCATGAATGCTGCACTTTTTTTACAGGAAAGAAAAGATGGTCATGATTGTAGTGTGTAGTTCCAGGTAAAAACTCAATGAGTGTTCCTCTAATACAAAGTGTGTTTGGCCCTCGGCGGCCCGCAGAAAAGTTTCTTCATCATTACATGCCTTAAAGCATAGAATGACATCCCACGGAATCAGGGCTTTGGAATTAGGGCATTCAGTTATGCGATAAAGTCCATCCAGAGAAAACTCTTTAGTTTAGGTGTCAAACTGGCAGTAAGTAATCGCCATATAAACTGAGGCAGTTCAGCCAAATCAATAGCATGGGGCATGCCCGGACCTCTAAGTTGAGCTGTCTCACATCTTCCAGCTGCTCAATCTTTGCACTTAACTGCACACAGGTGGTCGCCTCGAGTTCAGGTCCGCTTTAGAGGCCAGGTGGGGTTCAGGTTGGTGTTAAGACAAAGTCCTGTTCTTGCAAGGATTAGGTGGTACCTCAAAGTGTTCTTGTTCTTCATCTTCCGAGGCTTAAATCGAGTCTAGAGGAGAGTCTAGCGCGGCATCCGCCATCTTTAGATTACTTAGCTAGGACAGAAGAAGGTCGATATCGAGTGCTTTCCCATTGTATTAGGATGCTGCCGGTAACCTGATATGCCACTTTAGATAACTAGAAAAGGATTGGTGTATAGCAGATAGCCAGCCAAAGTTGTAGTGCCTGCTTCTTATCGGTTCACTGACTAGCTCCGCCCCCATGGCAAAACTTTATGCAGTACTCCATGATACACAAATCCCAAAATGTTGGTATTTTGTCTGACCACCTCCAGAAAAAGGCTCCAATTGGTGTGAGTGGGCAATTCTGTCTTGTGCCATTTCTAACCCTCACCACCTCAGAGAGGTCTCCATTCACTCTAACTCTAGCTTCTGGCTGGGAGTACTGCAACACTATCCAACGCCGGATGTGTACGTAAATCCCAGAATCTTCCACAAAAACGTCCCCGCCACCTGGTAAAATTCCTTCTCCTTGTCCATAGACAGCAGTAAAAGTTGCACACCCAACCTGCTATCTGCACCAGATTCAGTGTTCGCTTGACATTGTTGCTGGCCTCACTTCCCAGAAGAAAACCAGATTGGTTCATGTGTATCAATTTAGGTATTAGCCGTTGGATTTCCCAGGATTGTATTTTAGTGTAGGTCTAAATTCAGTAAAGATATGGGTCTGTAACTGTGACACAGTTCTAGGTCCCTCATGTCCACTGACAAGATGGTGATATGCACCAATAGGCAGTTCCTGGCGAAAGCATCCTTTCTGTCTTTGGAGGAATATATTCCTCAATTTCTTATACAATTTCAAGGTAAGGCAGTCCCAGCACTTTTTTGGGCTTCACCACCTTAATGGACCCTCCAATGGTTGTGCTTGATCAGGTGACAGTGATTTGTTTGCACAAATACTCAGAAATTAAGGAGTGGTCAGATGTTGAGGAGGATGTAATGTACAACTTAGAGCAGGGATAGGCAACCTTCGTCACTCCAGATGTTTTGGACTACACCTATCATAATGCTTTGACAGCATTATGGCTGTAAAATCATTGTGGGACATGTAGTCCACAACATATGGAGTGCCGAAGGTTGCTTCCCCTGACTTAAAGTAATAATCAAGAAACTCAATGTCTCTAGGATACTGTGTTATCCCAGCTGAATCCACTTAAGTTTATGGATGTGTATCATCATTTTTGTAGTACTTTAGTGATTAGTTTGCAGTATTGGTTTAAGCACTTGTTTGACTATTTGTAAATATACCTTCTTGAAATCACCTCCATTGCATGCAATTTATTGGCCATTAAGGTGTTTAGTTCCCTCTTTACTTGAAGAAAAAAGACTGATGGAGTTGTCAAACTCTCTCCCAAAGCTTCCAAGGGTGGGAGTCATGTGTGGTTGAACCTAGTCATCAACATGATCTGTGCAGAGCATAGATTCCAAAAAGTCTCCATTAAGGTATTGTCTGTCCAGGCAGGGAAAAAAATTATATTCCCTATTCTGGATGTATGGTCCTCCAGGAATTAACCAAATGAAGATCAGACAGTGTTCTCCGTGTGCAACAGTGGCAGAACAATGAAACACAACTTCTCTATAAAAGGTGGAGTGAAAATAAACTATCTATACACCTCAAGTATAAACTATTATATATCAAATATATAACAGATAGACGCTCTGACATGTTACCTAACATTAACATCCACATATTATCAAAACAGGAAAATAAGAACTATAATGTGTTTATAACTACCACCTAAAAAAAATGGAATATTTACATATAATTATCTCAAGGGTATGGAGGTATAGTGAATACTGGGATAAACATCCCTCTGTATATCTGGCAGGCACAAAGACCACTGAAATCATTAAAATAAACTGCACATAGTATAATACAGTACAAAATATATTATAGGGAAAGGGTCTAAATATGCGCTCACAAAGATAATTGGTAATCAGGCTTGTATTCCCTATATTGACGCCAATCAGAGTCTTGATCTGTGTCAATATTGGCACATAGCTGAGTTTACCTTCAGATCCATGCCATAGTCAATTGGTTAAGGGATATCATTCTAATGTTGGCGCTAAGTCCTGATTCACAACATAGTTGCGTCAATTTTGACGCCAATCAGAACCCAGAACCCGACTGCTGCTCGCATATGTCCTTTTGTTGCATCTCAGTATCAATCTTTAGAACCGACTAGCTGTATGTAATTTTGGCACTAATACAGACAGGTTTTGGGCACAAAGAAAGTATGTGAGCCTGTCTATAGGTGACAGACCTATATAAGGCTGCATTCTGCTCAACATCTTTGCCCTGCTGGGCTTTCTCTCTGATTCCCAATACAGCATTCCCTGTTCATTGTATCACTCTGGTATACTGACTTGGCATCTTTGACAATCTTGATCTATGTACTCCTTGACATTGCATGGCATTACATTCATGTGTATCGCTACAAACTCTGATATTAGATTTGCTATTTTCACCTGCTATAGGTACTGTGGTAAGCCAGGCCATCCTAATTAAGTTAATACGCTGTTATCCCTCTTTTATACGGTTACCGTAGGTTCAAACGTTGCTTGTGAGTTACTTTACTTGCTTTGACATGTCTATGGCAACAATTGGTTGGCAGGGAGATAGACACAGTTTAAAAAATTAATTAAAAAAATAAAATCTATACATTTTCTAGGATTTCAGTTAGCAATATATATATATATATATATATATATATATATATATATATATATATATATATATATATATATATATATACAGAGAGAGAGACACACATATGATTTTATGATCTTTGAAAAGTTGAAAAGAGCATAAGTCAGTGTGCCCATGCCTGTTACATACCTTCCAATCTTCCCTGCATACCTCCCGGGACTAAGGTGGGCAGGCAAGACAGGAGAGAAAGATGCGATACTGTCTGCTTGCTTGCCCAATACAGTTTTTATAGTAATGATGGTGTTACAAAATTTATATATATTTATACATATTTATAATATGCTATAAATTGACAGACTATTCGTTACCGAATTAGGCAGATTGCTTTTCAAATATGTTTGTTTTGTACTATGTGACATTAGGAATCACACTGTGTTAATAAGATTTCTTTCCAAATTAATGTGTCTGACAGTGTAATAAAATGATTACTAACAAGTTACACTAAGCACCCAGTCAGTGAATGAAAATAGGGACTGTCAAAGTCTGGCATTACAGATGTTTGAGGACTACATTTCCCAATATACAAACCATAATTAAGTACAAGGGGTGTGCTGGGTTTGCCAAGGCACCCGAATACAGAGAAAATTCTTCTTGTAACAATCAGTCACTCCTGGCTATTTACCCCAAGCACCATTGACCACTTCTGTGATTTGATGTGGTCATGGTGCCTGAAGTCTGTATGTGCAGCGTTTCAATACGAAATGCTGCACATACAGGGTTTAATACTTTTGCTGCCGGTGGCATAACTCCACCTCCGTTATTAGCCAGAATGGAACAAGAGTTCTATGTTCGCTAAGGTAAATTCTGTGCATATTCCTATGAAAAGAATATCATTATTTGGTTTTGGGTGATTAGCTGATGCAATCAGTCAATGAATGGGCGGCAGAATCAGCACCTAGCTTCTGCATGCTGCAGAAGCCGGGTGTCGTTCCCCCAGCATCAGAGGAGATTAGGCAGCCATCGGAAACCTAGGTAACATGCCAAACTATTGCAAAACAGTTTTCAACTTTACCAAGGAATGGCGCCAGGGTACTTATACCATTATAACCACTACTATTATAACTGATGCAGAGGATAAGATGCTTGGAGTAATCCTTTAATGTAGCTAATATTCAGCATTCAACAACCTACACTAATTACCAACTTTAATGTTTTTACCTAATGTTACAATCCTGCTTATTTTAAAACCATTTAAAACATTTGTGAAGAAGGCTGAACTTGATGGACGCAAGTCTCTTTTCAGCTATGTAATTATGTAACTATGTAAACAAGCAGTTCCCTGAGATAATGGCTTTAGACAGCAGTTGTGTTTCTTCCAAGGGCCTTTTAATCAAAGAGTAATTGTGGATTTTTGAAAAATAGAATGTTCTTTCACTAGAATCGCATTAGTAAATAATAAGCAATTTGGATGGTGTCAGCACAGCTATTTAGTAAAGATAAATCAGAGTTTGTTTTTGATGTACTACGTTGCGGGGTTAGCTTAACACAGCTTAACTGAATACTTACCCCACAAACATTTATGGAAACATTGCTATTTAATTACCAGATAATGGATTATGACCTATAATAAAATGTAGTCCTAAATTGTATACTCTCCAATGGCTTAATTCTAAGACCAAAGATCAATATAAGCTCCCATACACTTCACATGAATACTGCATTTCTACAACCAGAGATGAATTTATTTCTAGGCATGAAACAGAGCCCAATGACTACAAACAACAAGGAAGGACATTGCACACACAGAGCAGTAACTCAAACATAGATAAAGGTAAATAAATCCGTCTCTGAAACAAACAGAGCTCCCTACAAAAGGGGAACTGACCAAAAGAAGGAATAATAAATCCAAAAGAGGAAGGAGCAGGCTATTCAAATAGCTTTTGGAAAGATCTGATTAAGAATGCAATAGACAAAATTTTACATTAATGGCAACCTAAATTATGCACCAATCAAAGGTGTTTTTTATTTGAAAGACCTACTCAAGTAGCCCTGTAACTGAAATCCTGCAGGAGTAATACTGTGTACATAGCAGTAGTTACATAAATGTGACATATTACAAAATAAAAAGTTAAAAGTGGTCCGCAGTAGGAATAAAAGTTAGACATGTTTTACCTTGCTTTTGTAGAAGACCAAAGAACGGGATTGGCAGTTTGTAGAGTGTAACGAGATGAATGACCACTTGATGCTTTGCTGATCTCCCTGTTACTGCCTTTCACATCCCTTTTTTATACCAATTGCATCAATGACAAAGGATTTGTCAGGTAAGCCAGGGATCAACTACCCGTCTGCAAGCTGCAGAGTACCACTCCACATAATTACTTTTCTATCCATTTAATCAAGCCAAGCATCTAAAATTCAACAGAATTGTGTCTCTCTTAGCGCATTCAGTGTCATGTTAACATCAGTAAGAGGAAACTCAAAATATAATCCTGTCTGTTTTAGTCATAACTGCAGCTATTATGTTAAAATGTTCCTGTTCTTAAAACCTTCTCCCCTGAAATGAGTTTGCACAAAGTAATTAAAACTTGTGATTTGTCCACTAATCGAGCAAACACATTGCACCCCAGTGTCATGGTTGTTTTGGAGAAATAGAAGTAAAAACAGTTTTGTTTTCTATAATCAATTTTTATTTATTACAGATCCATTAGGTAAGAGGAAAGATAAAGTGACAAACATATAAATTAACTTTTAAATCAATGCATCTCTATGAGGAACAATCAGTGCCTCCATGCAAAGCGTGGAAACGTTGAACGTAGGGACTGGGAATCATTTCTAGTGGCCGTCTGAGTGACTGTCACTAGAGGTGTTCCTAGGCAGTAGTATAAACATTGACTTTACTCTGAAACAACTACAATAAGCTTTAGTGTCCCTTTAAGTTTTATCTGTTTTGCTGTCTATAGGGTCCCTTAGGTTTCCTCTATGAATGTCATATAAACTCAAGAATTTCACAGATAAATTAAATTAAATTAAATTAAATTAAAGAACTATAGTGCCAGGATTACAAATCTGTATTCCTAACACTAGATTTCCATCTGGCCCCCCGCAGCAAGGGTTTAAAAATCCTAACACTTACCAGATTCTAGCCAGATTCGGGACTGGGTCATCCGACGAGGAGCTAATGCACATGTGCGGTGAGTGCATTAGGTCCTCCCCATGGGACACCATTGACACAATGCTTTCCTATGGGGATATTACGGATGCTGGATGTCCTCATACAAAGCATGAGGATGTCCGGCATCAGTTAGGTGACCTAAAGTCCGGTAAGATTGCATTCTTCGTAGAGGCTTAGTGCTGCAATATAAGAATTAAAGTTTCTCTAAAACTGCAATTTTTATATTGCAGAACAAAGTGGGACTGGGACACAGCACACAGACCACTTCATTGAGCTGAAGTGATCTGGGTACCTATAATGTCCCTTTAAAGCATGGAAGCTGCACTACAGAGGAGAAAATGACATGAATATCAAGAAGAATGCAATTTTGGTTAATTGTGTTACAACGTTAAATTATAATAAATAAGCGAAGACTAAAACTATTTAGAATAAAAGAGTACCAGACACTTTTTGTCCTCAATAGAGCATTTTCTTTAAATGTATTTGATATTTGGGAAAACAAGTCGAGTCTAACTCTGAACCCATGTTAGTTTGTTAGATATTTAGCACTAGCCCAGACTCAACAGTAAACTCTTACCACACCAAACCCAACATAGGACTATCTGAGAGTATGTGATTTATCTATCATAATAATTTTTCTAGTATGCTTATACAGGGCCGCCACCAGAAATTTTGGGGCCCCTAATTCAGCTCAGGGTCTGGGCCCCCTGGGGCCCGCCTCCAAATACCGCCCACAGGAATACACACACAGACACAAACACACACACTGATACAAAAGGACACAGATACATACTGAAACAGACATACACGCATACAGGCATACATACTGACACACACATACTGAGACATACACACAGGCATACATAGTGACAGACAGACACATACATACAGACACACATGCATGAGGACATAAAGACACATATATACATACAGACACCGACATACATACACACACACACACACATACCTACACACATACATTCATATATACAGACATACTGACAGACATACAGACACTGACATCCATACACACATACATTCATAATGGCATACAGACATACACAGACATACATTCATAATGGCATACATACATACATACATACATACATTCAGACTGACATACATGCATATATACAGACATACTGACAGACATACATGCATACAGACATCCATACACACATACACACAGACATATGTTCATAATGATATGCAGACATACATTCATACTGAAATACAGACATACATATATACATATATAATGACATACATACAGACATACATACATAGACATACATGCATGCATACATACATACAGACATATACATACATACATACACAGACATACATACAGACAGACATACATACATAGACATACATGCATGCATACACACAGACATACATACATACATACAGACATACATACAGACATACACACAGACATGCATGCATACAGACAGACATACATAGACATACATACATACATACATACAGACATGCATACATACACATACATACAAACATACAGATATACATACACAGACAGACATACATACATACATAGACATACATACATGCAGACAGACATACATGCATACAGACATACATACAGACATACATACATACATACACAGACATACATACAGACAGACATACAGACATACATGCATGCATACAGACATACATACATACATACATACACATATATACATACATACAGACAGACATACAGACAGACATGCATGCATACATACAGACATACATACATACAGACATACACGTCCATACAGACAGACATACAGACAGACATAGACATACAGATATACATACAGACATGCATGCATGCATACATACACATACAGAGAGACATACATAGACAGACATGCATACAGACAGACAGACATAGACAGACATGCATACAGACAGACAGACATACATGCATACAGACATACATGCATTCAGGCAGACAGACATACATACAGACATACATACAGACATACATACAGACATACATACAAACAGACATACAGACAGACATAGACATACAGACAGACATACATACACAGACATATATACATACATACATACATACATACAAACATATACAGACATAAATACATAGACATACACGCATGCAGACAGGCATACATACAGACAGACATACATACATAGACATACAGACAGACATGCATACAGACAGACATACATGCATACAGACAGACATATAGACAGACATACAGACATACATACACAGACATACATAGACAGACAGACATACAGACATACATACACAGACATGCACAGACAGACATAGACATACAGACAGACATACAGACAGACATAGACATACAGACATACATACAGACAGACATACATACACATACATACACAGACATACATACACATACACCGACATACATACACAGACATACAGACAGACAGACACACAGCTCATTTTCCAGCCACCCTCCTGTCTCTTACCTTTTCTTTGCAGGAGGGTGGCTGGGGATGATGGGAGTCGGCAGGGCTCCCTCTTCACTGCCTGGCTCTCCCTCTTCACTTCCTCCCAGCAGCACTTGCGGCTGCTTTTTTTTTTTTTAAAGGGGCCCGGTCACGCTATACCACGGCCACAGCGCTATACCACGGCCCCTCAGGCGGCCCTGTGATTATATAATGTAGTTTTAGTGTGTACACCTAAAGTTGCTATTGGAGGTACTTTATCAGATGTTTTCATAAAAGAATAGATTGTTTAAATTTCAAAATACAGTATTACTTTAGTACAGGGATCAGCAGCCTAAGGCACGTGTGCCATGCATGGTACTCAGGTTGCCTTTGTACAGCACTCAAGGTTACCCCCGCCCCCAAACCACACCAGAGTAGAGCAGCTATTGCAGCTCCTGCTATTGGCCTGTATCTGGGCCCCAGGGAAGCCACCCACAAAGCTAGATATACACAGAGCTGCTGAATAAGCTTCTCACTTATACAAATAATAGAAACAGTCCACACACAAACACACAGTCCCTACAAACACTTCACTATGGACTATCAACATGCACGCACAAACACACATATACACACAAACACACAATGTGACATATCATCCACTCACAATTCCACAAGCAGCCCTCATACACAGCCCACATTCATAGGTATCATACACAACCATACCACACAGAAAAAAAAAGTGTCAAAGCACACACTGTGGTGCTTATTCTTTACCTTTAAATCAATGTTTCGTTGATAAGAACCCTAAATAGTGTAAATACAAAACAGAGGAACCATAGTGTAACCTGTATACATAAATATAACAGTGATACAATAAAAATGGAACACTCACACTTTCCAGAGCCCTTAGAGAGTGGCTCTGAACTGTAAGGGCATGTCATCCACAAAAGGAGTAGTTGTAGAGATGTATCTTTGGAACCTTGAGGTCTCCAGATGAAAAGCAGGAACCAGGTAAAAGTATAACAATATTTATTCTACAATAGTGATTTTAAAAAACAGCATTTCGACCTTAAGAGAGGTCTTCCTCAGGTGCAATCTACCTGACAACTAACATAGCAGGCTTATATACCCTAAAACCAAACACACATAATGAAAAACAGGTGCATAAATTAAAACATATGTGCAGAAACTTCCATATATAGTCCGGACATAGCTCGCCACCCCCAATATGGCTGCACATCTGGTTTCGGCCATACTCGGAAGAGTGTTCCACAACCGAGATGTTCGTGCACCGTGTCACATGACAAGGCAAGTTTTGATTGGAGATAACTGCTGTCCGTCTTGTGTGTAGGCGGTGTTTCAGCTCCGACGGCAGTCTTATGGATAACGTAGTCCTTAGATGTACAGGAGCATGCATGTTTGAAAGGGGAGTGTCCTGTGCCAATGTGTATTCCAGCAAGGTAGCTTTTAATGAGGCAGTCTCTAAATCGTCCATAATTCCCTTAAAGGCAGTACACTCCATATTTCATGTGGGAGAAAAAAACGGAACAAAAAATGGTGATCAATAAAAACTTAAATATACATAAATACATAAGGTAAAACCGTAATCAATATAAAAATACTTGCCAGACTCCTGCCCACCTACTATGGGCCAGGTCAGCGACTGCAAAGACCCATTTTTTATTCCCCTTTGTTCCCCTGGTTCGGCACTTTCCATTAGTGCACATAGAACCGAACGCTAGCTCCCTGGCAGCCGTTCGCATGGACCAAAACCGCGAATAGACTTCAGGGGGACTTAACCGCGAAAGTTCTGGAACTATTTTTGGCATGAAGACTTTGCGGTTCCCGGTCATTTCCCGGTCAGTTCCCGGTCGGTCCCCAGCGGCACTTAGCCGCGATTCTATGAAACTATTTTCGGCTAGGGGACCATGTGTGCAGTCGGTCAAATTATGACTTCCAGGAAATTCCTGAACCCCTGAATCTGGGTGATTTTTGGATATGTTGGTCACCCAGATTGGGGCTATCAGGGGATGTAACTTTTGTGGGGATTTTGTTTAAAGGTATTATGGGGGTTTTGTAAAAATGTTTGTGGGACTGTGTATTTTCAAGGTACTTTTGGGGTGTTTGGGAAATGTGTGTTTTTGTGCTTGGAGATAATTGAGTTTAATACACTACTTGACTCAATTATCTCCCAGGTACAGGGGAGGGATTATCTTGTTTTGTATGGGAGTGTCCTGGACCTGAGAGCCAATGTAATCGAATGTATGTTTTTACTATAGTCTGCTCTCAGGTCCAGGGAGGAGTGCCCCTTGCTTGGGTACCTGCATATAAGGCCAGTTGTGGCTGCCATTAAACACATTCCTGCTTGTACTCCCAGAACTATGTGTCATCTGGTTAGTGGGAGGGGAAATGGCTGTTCCAGTGTGGAGGATTCAATGGGGAAAGTCCTTGTAAGGACTGAAGCTCACAGGACTGAGTGTCGTCCAGTGCCTGGTGGTGTCTAAGGCGAATTCCCCATTCGACTCCAGGAGGGAGTGGTTCCAGTGCTAGAGCTCCCAGGACTGAGTGTTGTCCAGTGCCTGGGAGTTGCTAGAGCGAGTTCCCCATTCGGCTCCTGGAGAAAGCGGTTCCAGGGCCCCAGTCAAGTCACGGCGACTGTGGGCAGAAGTGCTGCGGTTTGTCCCCTGTTCCAGCTTGGAAGTGGTCCTTAGCGGAGGTACCCAGCCAGGGGTACAGGGAGCTCCGTTACAGTATTTTTACAAGCATTGCAAGTACGGCAATGATAAAAACCTTTTCTTTTTGTTTTAAAGCCAACCAAACAATAAATTTGAAGCATTTGTGGATATCAATCAATTTATTAGAAAATGATGTATTACAAAAAAGAAGTGAGATTCCCCCTATTGAACCAAATTTAGAGCTACAGACATTTGTTCATAGAAACCTTAAGAAAAAGTCAACTTTTTATCCAAAGTTCCTTAAATGACAAAACATGACATAAAAAAGCTTGTTTAGATGACATTTATAAAATTAAACCTTTATCGAAATATAATTTTAATTTGTCGGTTAATGAGAGGAAAGCTTTGGAAAAATTAAATACAAATCCCTCTATTATGATAAAACCTGCAGATAAGGGTGGAGTTGTTATCCAAAATATAGACGCCTAAATACAGGAAATTAATAGACAATTACAAGATAGTGATACATATACTAAACTTAAAAAAGACCCAACTAATGACATCAAACAGAAATATCAAATATATTTAAACAAAGGAATGGATCTTCAAATATAAGATAAAGGTGAAAAAAGTTTTTTTAGCAGTAGATTACCCTAGGATCCCTGTTATATACACCCTTTCGAAAATTCATAAAGATCCCTCCAATCATACTGGCAGATCTATCATCTCCGGAATTTATTAAATTTTATCACCACTATCACAATACATAGACGCAGATCTACAACCAATAGTTAGAACTTGCCTTTCCTATTTACAAGACTCTATGAGCCATTTAAATATTTTTGAGAATTGTAAATGGTAGACTACATCCTAATTACTTGTGATGTGACCAGCCTGTACATGATCATTGAACATTTGAAAGGCTGTCAGGCTGTAGAATTCTTCCTTAAAGAATCACACACCCTGATGTACAAATCCAATTTATTTTAGAAGGTATAAATATGATTTTTGGTTATTGGTGATGATTTCTTTCTTCAAATTAGAGGTATCGCTATGGGGACCAAGTTCGCGCGTAGTTATCTTTTTATGGCATTCTGGTAAAGGAACTTTATTTACCAGAATGACCAGTATGGCGCGAACTTGGTCCTCTATAGACGGTACATAGATGACATTTTTATCATTTGGAAGGAATCTATGGAGCTTTTTAACACTTTTTATGATAATATAAACAATTGGGGCATCAGATTAACTAAAAGTATTAGTGTTAAGACCTTCAGTTGTTATGGTACTGAGGTCTTCTATTCCTTTCCCAATAGCTGAGCATAAGTGATTATAACTGCAGTTAGCGTGTAGAGGAATAGTGTAGATGAATGCAGCTTCCAAGATGATTCTCCCCAGCAAATAAAATATTCCCCAAGCATGAGCCTAGACTTCATGAAAGGTATAACAGGAATAAGCTTTATTGACGCCACACTGGCTTTTATGGAAATCCTCCTGCAAGAGGACCTCCCAGAGTAAACAAAAGTGACAACCAATCATAAAACAGTTTTACCATAAAACCCTCCCTTCCTCTGCCTGGGAGATTCTGAGATAAGTTAAGGAATAACCCAATTATCTCCAGGCAGAAGACACACAATTTCCCCAAAACTTGGAACACCCCTTTATACACAAGGTATCCCCACAAGTGATATTTCCCCTGATAGCCCCGATCTGGGAGACCAACTGTAACGGATCGACTGGGTACCCAACTGGGTACCTCCGTTAAAGGATGCTCCTAGCGTTTCCTGAGGACTCCAAGCACTCTGGCAGACACCACAATCACCGAACCAGAGAAGCATATGAGTACTTTTAAGCATATGAATGTTGTATACAGCCGAATAGGAAAAACCATGTGAATAGGTTTACACTCCTAGCAGTCAAACTGGAACAGCATACAATAAATCCTCCCCCAATAATGAGACGACACTTCACTTTGAGGGTTAAGCAGGAACTCCACTGTAATGGCCACACACTGGCTTTTATGCAAGTCCCCATGCAAGTGGACATCCCACAGGGTGGGACACAGTACAACCATTTACAGGAGAACCGTAAAACACACCTAGCACAAACATACATCCCTCCCCTCTGCCTGTGATATAATTACTGTGTAATTTATCACAGGCAGGAAAAATACACTTTTTATACATACACTGTAACTTTTAAAATATGCATCATATTCACATAAAACATATTCAGAATCAGCATATTTTAAATATAAACATAACCAAAATTCAGCCAATTCCATCCAGGGGTTAAAAAGTTAAGGGAAAGTCCTATTTGACTAAATGAAGCATGGATTTATTGCCCAAAACTGGTTCCACAGAGTCTTCTATCCTGGAGATAATTGGGAAGTAATCCAATTATCTCCAAGGACAGCGGCAAAACTCCATTAGCCACATGGCAGATAAAGGACAATAAAAGACATAAAAATACATACTGTTACATTTATCACATAGAACATACACATTCTACCTATCCCGAGATAGCTTAGATCTGAGCGCACATTATTGCCGGATGGTGCTCAGATCACATACATACAGTTCAATCGCCATAGAGCCAAAGTCTTTCAAACAGTCTTTCAGTATACGGCTGGGCTCCATGGCATAGCTATCTGGGGTAGCATGGCTTTAACAGTCCGCAGAAAGGCACGAATAAACCTTTCTGCAGGTAAAATAAAAGTTTAAAATGCAGGACCATAGTCTAAAGGGAGCAGGCGAGCAAGCAGGCCTCTCCAGTGGACAGTGGCAAGGTTGGTTCCGCCACACTTCTCCCCTTTACCAGACAGACTAACAGGGTAGCTGACCTCCTGCCGGTCAGTGCCCTGGTTAGTCCAGCAACCCACCCACGAATCACAAACAGCAGTACAGCCCACCCTCAATAAATGGTTACTACACCTGGATAAAGTAGAAACTTGTCCATGTCCAGGTGTCTCACCACGGCTGTGCGGGGGACTGGTGGGCTGCCTTGGTGGGTTGCTGAGTGGGCAGAGACCAGCGGTACTCTGCCCTGGTGCCAGTGCTACCACGGAAGTAGCCTGGTTGGAGCCTGGTTGTGGGAGGGGAAGACCGACTGATTCTCCTCTGGTTACACAGTTCTGTTGCTGGGGGACAGGACCGCCCATCCCTACCCCTTGTGCTGTAAGTGCAGAGACCACGGTCCCATCTGCACAGGTGTGGGGCTTATCATCTCCCCTTGGTGGGCTAGGCTGCCGCTGGGGAGAGGGGGTAACCAGCTCCTCTCTCTGAACCGTAGACTACCGCTGGGGAGAGGGGGTAACAGGCTCCTCTCCCTGTGACACCCTTTCTTGTTGTAGGGGAAAAAGGACTGTCTCCCCTTCCAATACATTGTCCTGCTGTTGGGGACCAGAACAGACTATCCCTATCCCCAGTGGTGTAGGTGCAGAGACTATGGTCCCATCTGCACTGTTGTGGGGCTTACTGTCTCCCCTCCCGGTGGAATATTCTGCCGCTGGGGATCTGGGCCAACTGCCCAGCATCCCTGTAGGGCCGGTAGAGAGACCGTAGTCCCATCTCCACCTGGCATCTGTTGGTCTTCCCAGGACCAGTCGATAAGCTCCCTTATTTCTGGGGCTGGTTGGGGAGTAGGAGGTACCGAATGCAGGTCTCCTGATGACGGGCTTAGTTGTTGGGGAGGGGGAATGAAACTGGTGTACAGTCCATAAGCCCCATCAGGTTAGAGACAGGCGGTGTCACTTGATCATATAAGTCCGCATAATTCTGTTCGATCTCCCACTTCTCTGGTGGTACTTGCAGGGTATAGA